GGAGAGGGGAAAACCAGAGTACCCGGAGAAAAACCTCTCAGAGCAGAGAAGAGAACCAACAACAAACTCAACCCACATATGACGCCGGGTCCGTGGATTAAACCCGGGACACATCGGTGGGAGGCGAGCGCTCTCACCACTACGCCATCCCTGCTCCCCTGCAACTTTTCTGGTAAATTAGAATATGGTAAGTTAGAACATACAGCAAATAGTAAATACCTCAAACTTACGTACCCGATCAGAACTCCTAAAAAAAAAATGAAAGATTGTTGCTATTGATTTAATATCAAATGATAAGGCAGCCTTGTGACTTGACCAACTTAAATAAGATATCGAATGATTTGCTTAATATTGCAGTCAAAATTGTCTGCAACAGAGCTTACCGGCCAATCACGAGAACTTTGCCCAACGAATTACTCTGACGCAGCACAATTAAATCTGATAGTCTGTGCGTGCGACACTTGGGGAGAGGTAGTTATTTGAAGTATTTAGAGGCGAGTTGTTAAGATAGTCCATAGTCCCGATCATAAACCGGCGTTGCTTCTGCGTTAATGTACCCTGCGACAATTCAAACTCTGCGATATTAATTTTGAGAAATCACAGAAATCTGAAAAGACTAAATGTTGCGAAAGCTTCCAAACATTAAAGCAATCGTCAATACTTCCAAAAGTAAATTTCTCATTGATTGTTGAAATTTGTTTCTACCACCAGATCTTCAAAGGTTTCTATTTCCAGTTCGCCAATTACTTCCAGTACCGAGTGGCCGCTCGATACGTCAGAATTCTTCCTCAGACCTTTCGCGGATACAAGTTGTGCATGCGAGCTGAGTTGATTGGCTGTGCGTTTTGGCAAGGTAGGAGAAGTTATAAAGAGTAAACCGTTAGACAATGATTAGATTAGGCCGTTTTGGAAATTTTATATTGCAAAAATTATATTGTATTTCGTCCTCTCCCCAAAATGTTTGTCATGGCCTATCCCGTTATATGAATTGACAATTAGATTTTAGAAGCAGCACGCAGTCCTAAATATAACTCACTTTGCTTCAGTTAGGACATTTGGATTTTTTGATTTTCAGTTAATCTAGCGTCAAATACGACCGCTGAACAATCAAGCACCGTGAACGGACAGGTAGCCTCCAGAGCAATTGATGGAAACTTTAGTAGTGGTGAGAAATTAAATTTAGCAATGTACAATGAAGCTTTTCCATCCAAGAGCATATTTTACCACTTCTCTGCTAGTCTTTTATTCATTGACAACCATATAAGGCACTGGTTTTAATAGTTAATGGTTACTAAGGTTGAATTTCAAGTTTGGAGATGAACCCGGTTAAAACCTGGCTGGTGTAGTCGTCTTACCGTGCTTCTCTCCGCCCAGGTTTATAAATAGGTTACTTTTATCGAACATTTTGGAGAAACCTGATAAAATGCTGTTTACAGAGGGAAATCGTGTAGTAACTTCCCCACCGACACAAACGTTTCCTGCTTACCTGTAGCCATGTTAGGTGTACCTCGCAAAGCCCCTTCTAGTTTACTACCAATAAATTGTCAGTACTTCATGACAATCAACATGACGTTTCTCATTGTGTTTTATTTTTGTGCTAGAATCTTGTTCTCTGACCCAGACCGAAGACAATCCGTGGTGGCGTGTAGATCTGGGATATGTAACTGCCATAAGAGAGCTTTACCTTGCTGCTCCTCGAAATGGTACTGAGTTAAAAGACTTTGAAATAAGGATTGGAAACAGTACGGAGAACGAAGGTAATGACAATGAAAAATGCGGAGATAAACACAGCGTAAGACCTGGTGATGTCAAAACCATCAGGTGTAATATTACTGGACAGTACATCAACATCCGGATACCTGAGAGCGGGAAAGCTTTATCACTGTGTGAAGTGGTGCCTTATGGAATGGGTGAGTTAATCAAACAGAAATCGACCATGATAAACGAACCTAAATAATACAGTCTCACAGGGTGGTTAAACCATTTTGTTCTATTTTAGTGTTATTTTGCAAACCAGAAGCTTTTAAGCTTCTGTATAAACTCATAGATATTTGCATTTCCTCTCATTGGACCATACCTTTTGTTTTTCGTCTTGCAGACCCGTCAATGGTAAACTTTAGTCCACAGGTTGTCTTGAGTTACGTCAACTATGTTCGTATGTTAGAGTACAGGAAGCGACTATTAGAACAGCAGGAACGATTAAGGAACGCCACCTTGGAGGCTCAAAAAGCAGGAAAACAGCTGGTTAATCAAGGTCAACAGGTAAATATAAAATGAGATTATTACCCCTCCTTTACCAGAGGCTTATAAAATTATAGACACCCTAAAAATGTAAATGGTCGACCAAGGGCGTAGAGAAACGTCGTTATGATCACTTACAATGTTAAAGTTTTGAACACTTTATATGGAGAATTCAGTTGAGACTAAATTTCTAGCAATTTAGGGAAAATTGAACAGGCTGATTTTTCCTTTTAATGCAGCTTAAGGGAAAGTATTCTTTCAGTTAACATCAATCTCTCGCAGGACTCTGATAATTCTTTTTCTTTTTACGGTAAAGAAGTATTTGAATCCTCCCCAGTTATATTTCGCCATAGAAAATATATCTTTCTCCATTAGGCCTATTAAGTCCTAGGTTTGCTTCACATCATACACCCCTGTTGGTGTGTTAGTTATGAGAATACGATAGTGTATCGAAACCAATATAAAAACCAATGTAGCTTACATAACGACGATCAAAAGTTTACCTATAAGTTACTTAGGCTTGGATACAGAGCAAATGTTCGTGTGCTTGATTTCGCCTGAAGGCTATTGGTGGAGCCCAGCAACAAGGTCAGCAAGCGATCAATCAGGGGAAACAGTTGGCTGGCCAGGGACAAGCTGCTATTGGTCAAGGACAGGCTGCAGTTGGTGGAGCCGTGGGTCAAGGACAAGCAGCTCTTGGCGGATTTCAGAGTAAGACTTTGGTATTAGCCATTATTACAGAAAAGTTAAAGTACCACTCATGGTAAAACGCGTTTCTTTCAGATCAAGGACAACAGGCATTTGGCCAAGCGCAAGGGATGTTTGGTGGCGCACAAGGTCAAGGTCAACAGATGCTGGGCCAGTTTCAAAACCAAGGAGTAGGCATGGCAAACCAATTTCAAAACCAGTTTAACCAGTTTCAGAATCAAGGTGCAGGAATGGCAAACCAATTCCAAAACCAGTTTCAAAATCAGTTTGGCCAACTTCAGAATCAAGGAGCAGGCATGGCAAACCAATTTCAAAACCAGTTTAACCAGCTTCAGAATCAAGGTGCAGGAATGCTAAACCAGTATCAAAACCAGATGAACCAGTTACAAAGTCAAGGCATGGGTATGGTCAATCAATACCAAGGCCAGCTTCAAAACCAGTTTAACCAGTTGCAAGGCCAGGGCATGGGCATGGCCAACAGGCTTCAAGGACAAGGGATGCAACTGGCCAATCAACTTCAGGGCCAAGGTATGGGCATGGTGAACCAACTTCAAGGACAAGGCATGCAATTGGCCAGTCAACTTCAAGGTCAAGGCGCAGGAATGCTGGGACAAGCGCAAAACCAGTTGAGCCAGCTTCAAGGACAGGGTATGGGAATGGTAAACCAACTTCAAGGACAAGGGCAGCAGCTGGCTGGTCAGCTGCAAGGCCAGGGAATGGGGTTAGCCAATCAGATTCAAGGACAAGGCATGGGTGTTGTTAATCAATTACAAGGTCAAGGTGAGAAAAGGTCTGCAAAATGTTTACCCTTTTTCTGTAATTGACACAGAGCGCAATTCCAGCTGACTAGTTATTGTTTTTCATATAATCTCGGGTGATATTCTTCACTGTACAACTTCGAAATGTACATTTATACCTAAACTATAGAGATGAAATGTGCTTCAATCTGTATGGGAGGCGCATCACTGCCTTATTCGTGAAGGCAAACGCCTTCTCTCATCAGCTTTGCAAGAGTTATGTGTAACGGTTTATAACTGAATCAGAACGCTGAGGTGGCGTTTTCACGGTTTTAAGACCCTTTAGGACTAGGAGACAAACGCAGCAAAAGTTGAAGAAGACACAAACAGTTAAGTTAGACAAGTTAGACAAGCAGCAGTCCAAAGTCGCTCACAATCCATTATAGTTAACTGCTCGACCTCTCCGCACTTATTGCACTTGAAAGAAGAGTGAAAGGGTCTGTTGACAAACCTTGGATTTGGTTGAAGAAGAGAAACTTTAAGTAATTTCGAGTTGAAAAAATGAGCGGTGTTTGCAATATTTTTGAAGGGATGATTTCCGCCAACCCACTAATGTAAACATGATTTCCCCTTTACCTGAAGGCATGGGTGCAGTAAACCAACTGCAAAGCCAAGGACTGGGGATGACAAAAGACCTGAGTAAAACTTCTGATGATTTGATTGAAAAGGTGAGATACCTGACACGAAGAAGAGCGTAAAAAGTATGTGAAAAGTTAAATCTGAATGCATGGTAAATGTAAGCCATAAAACAGAAATTTTAATAATCTAAAATGATATCGCCATAATACGAACTGGTCTTTTCGTTGATTTACTGTTCCATTCCACGACTTTGTGTCTTAACTGCATTTACTCTTTTTCTTTTCAGGCTAAAGACTTTTACAAGAAGGTAAGTTTTTCGACACTTCTAACATAATTTTGCTTCAAAATAACGAAATCTTCTCGGACAGATTAGTGCCTTTTAGTGATGCCCGTGTTTCCGTATTTACGTTCTAGTTGAAGCCTTGGCAGAAGAGAGCAGAAGATTTCTACAATGAAAAAATCAAAGGACAATATTTTGAAATGGGAAAAAGTAGGTAGTATATTTCGTACAAGAGCAGCTTATCTATAATTTAGATCTGATATAGATCGCACAAGTCTGAGGCTTTTCCCCAGAATTAAACAGGCGTAGAATTGATATAGTTGTGATAGAAGTCGGCGTAAACTGTTAAACCCTGTTTTGTAATATTTGTAAAAAGAAAGTGCTTGACACAGTGAAAAACATGTATATCTCATGGGATTTCCTTGAGAATTATTGAGAATTATTTCCTTTGGCTTTGATACTAGCTTTATTCTCACTTTCCTGTTCAGTTATTCCCCTAAATATGTCAATCCCTCTTGACGTTTGTAAATGTAGCCTATTGCGGTTTTTTAATAGCCTTAGTGAAACCTAGAACCATAGTTTTATTAGACAGATTAGACGTGATTCGAAGGAGGGACAATTGAGTTCACTGAACGAGAAAACTTCTCCTTTGAAAAAAAAACTAAATAACAACGAAGTTGACAGAATTTTGATGTAAGACCGTGTTTCATCGGGATATCCAAACACCGAGAAGAGAGCTGAAAATACGATGCGCAGCGGAGTATTTTCGACGAAACTCGAGGTGTTTGGATAGCCGACGAAACAGTGTCTCGAGTGTTTGATATATCTTCTCAATCGAAACAAAAACTAAGGAGTACACCGAGAAGTAAAATCGTCAAAATCTATGCTAATTAAGACCGGGCATCCAAACCTCCTTCACGGTTGTGATTTTCTTTGTTTTGACTTGATGAATTATTAATGAGTTTCAGAAGATGATGTATCAAAGCGATGTATAAAAGCATGTTATTCAGGGGACGATCATCTTATTCCAGGCTCTCGTAAGAGAGTGGCCATTAATTCTTTCAAACTCAAACGACAACAAACGACCAATTATCTTCATCATCTTCCAGGGTGGTTTAATCGTGGAAGGGAATATGGTCTGAAGGCTCTCGATGTGTTCAAAGACACAGTGTTGTCTGAGTTCAAAGGGCTGGCAAGTGATATTGGCGGAGAAATATCAGCAATTGGAAACTACGATACAAAAGATGTCAAAGGTCTCCTGGACAATGTCGATAAAGACAAAATCAAGGAATTGGTTGAGAAAGTCAAACCTCTTATTCCTGAGTACTACGAAAAAGCCAGAAAAATGGCCACTGATATCTTTAACCAAGGGAAAACGGAGTTCGACAGGATAAGAGAGGAGGTTGAAAATGAGGTAACAAGTCTCTTTTAGTGTTCAGAAGCCCTTCGGAAGTTATTCGGAGAAATCTTCGTATCCCATTTTGGTATTCCGGTAGACTAGGGAAGACAAACCCTGCCAAACATTTATTAAACTGGGAAAACAAGAATAACAACAACTCTAAACAACAACGAAAACAGCGACAACGACCACAAAATATGGCTCCAATAGTGCTCCAATTTGTCCAGAAAGAAATTTATGTATATCTTTGTACTCCAGGCTTATAAACTTATAACAGCTTCACTGCACTTTATTCGTAGGCTAATAAAGCCGTAGCCATGGGAGAAGGGCTGTCACAAGAGGCCACCGGGCTTGTAGGTGAAGCACAGAAACAAGGAATGGAAGCTGTTGGGCAGGCGCAGCAGGCCGGAATGGGAGCACTGAACCAAGCCAGGCAGACAGGACAAGGACTTGTGCAACAAGGACAACAGACCCTCAGTAAGTGGCAAAAACTACACAGTTTACAATAACTGTACTTTAGAATGATGAGTTCTTTAATACAGAGATGAAGTGTTTGGTAGACGGTAAAATTGTAATTAGATGTGAATTATAAGAAACCTCTGCCTTCCGTTCTTTTACGAATCTTTCGTCGCACTGATTAATTGCGGTGAAACGCGTCTGGTTTGCACTTTACCATACAGTTTATCAAACAAATATGCGATAACATCTGCATCAAGCAAAGAAAGTAAAGACATAAGAAATTTAGGTCACCATGAAACAATTTACAACAATAGTTTCTCTTTTACTTGATAGACCAAGTACAGCAACAAGGAATGGGAATAATGAACCAGGCTCGTCAAACCGGTATGGGCGCCTTTAATCAAGTCAGACAACAAGGAATGGGAGCTTTAGGACAAGTACAGAATATGGGACAGCAAGGCTTTCAACAGGTATGCCAGGGTTATATCACTTGCGTCTTAGATCGCTGAGTCCTAAATCGCAGTTATATCAGCTGTAGTTCAACGAAAATAGCTTAAACAAGACTACTTAAGACCAAGTTACGTTGTCCTTGCCACTGCCATGCAGTTTATTATGCATTTATTGACGGCTTATCAGGTAAATATTGCGTGCACATACATGTTTGATACAAACATGGTGCAACCACACTGTTTATTTCTCAGGTTTTGGAAAATAGTGAAATTATACAAACGAAATGATCAAACCTGTTATACCTTGCAAAAAGCCTCGATGAAATGAAAGGAACGAACGTGGAAGGTATAGTTATTTCGATCATTTTAGCTTTAAGTTGTCAATTCTGAGAAGTGTACAACGGGACTCCATGTATGTTTACACAATTTAACGCGAAATCTTTCTCAATAAGCTTCCTGTCACCGTTTTCTTTTCAACATATGGTAGGAAGGTTCTTTGAATCCCAATCCTCTTATAAAGTCTTACAAGACAGATCGTGAAAATGAATGTATTTGAACACAAACGATATTCTTTCGAGCATCTTGAAAGCTGCGAGGCACACTGTAACCTGATCGAGCGTTTGTTTTGCCCTCAGGTGCAAAATCTCCAAGGCCAGCTCAGGCAGACTGGTCAAGGATTATATGGTCAAGCACAAGGTATGGCCCAAGGGCTACAGGGTCAGCTAATGCAGCAAGGCCAGGGACTGTACGGTCAGGCTCAGAGAATGGGAGGAGGCTTACAAAGCCAGTTAATGCAGCAAGGACAGAATCTGTACGGTCAAGCGCAGAGCATGGGCCAAGGCGCCTTTCAGCAAGGGATGAACCTTGGCAGTCAACTGCAGCAGCAAGGACAAAATGCTTTCCGGCAAGGAGCTGGAATGGCACAGGGTCTCCAAGGTGCGTTTTTCAGCAAAATAAAATTTAAAAAAAACTCTCTGTTAGGCTACTACCCTTGGTCCAGGAAAAAGTTGTTGCTCAAGAGAAACGGTCGTCGAAGAGAGTGGTCGTTAAGAGATCTATAAAACTGACTTTACATCAAAACCATTTTCGCAGTTGCCTTATGGTTATTGCATCGTACTACCGATTACTTCTGAGTTCTTGCAATTTACACAAATATCTGTTACTAGCTCAATGGAACTGCCTTGTCACCAATAACCCAAGATTAATTACATTATTAAGAAAACAGTGCACCTTTTTCCTTGACAATGAATGTTAAACTGCTGTTTAACAGAGTTCAACAGTTTCTTACCTTGGCTTGCTCCCAATGTGTTACATTTACAGGCATGGGATCAAATTATTACGGGCAGGCTATGAATATGGGTCAACAATTTCAACAACAAGGCCAGCAACTCATGAACCAGGGACAACAGCTGTCACAGCAGTTGGCAGGCAAGTGTATATGACTTTCAAACCCACCAAAGGAATGTTTTGATCTTACCCTTTTTCCGAGAGGAAGGAATTTAATCATCATTCAGAAGTTGATGATCTGTTCCACGTTCGAAATTTCCTTTGCAATTTACGCTACGAGTATCAGTGAGAAAAAGGTGGCGTTACAGTGGTCTGGTCTCGACAACCTAATCGGTAGTCGTCTTCTGAAGAGTAATGTAGAAATCTCGTTTGATCGGTATTTACATTTCATTCATTGGTACTTTTCCCGGTCCTGCATTCATTTTCTTTTCCTAGCCAACGCTGAGTGGGTGCTGTGTCTGAAAAGCTAAAAATGTGAAGGACCTGGTTTTCCACCCGTATATTTTACGTTTTTGCTTTTGATTTTCGAACAGTATAGTGCAACTCAAAACGTTAGTCCAAGCTAATTTGTTATCAATCAACTTTTATAGGAATGGGATCAAATTATTATGGACAAGCTCTGAATATGGGTCAAGGATTCCAACAGCAAGGCCAACAACTCATGAACCAAGGTCGACAAATGTCAGGGCAAGTGGCAGGCCAGGTACCGAGCCCTCAACAGCAGTGGCAGCACCTGATGAATCAGGGACAGAAACTTCAGAAACAGGGCCAGAGTCAGGGAGAGGCCCTCAAGAAACAAGGCGAACAGGCGGCCGGTGGTGGCTCCAAATAGAAATTATATGGCAACCAAACTGCTTTTAATTCTCAAGTGGGCAGTCAAGATGAACCAAAGTGAATTCAATGTGCTACAAATGGTCTATTACGTTTGCTATTAAGTTCTATAATTGCAGCTCTAGAGACATTTTGGAATGTTTCGCGGTTAAAGTAAAAAACGTGCTAGTGAAGCTGCTGGTGCCATGCTCACGTGCCCTACCAATCAAAGGCGCCTCTAATAATTCTGCTAAGTTTGCAAAATTGCTTTTTCTTCCTCCATGCAGTTAAGAATCGAGGAGAGTTTGACTTCAAAATTTTAAATTCCCTAGCGAAGGAGAGGTAGTAGTTTTAAACGAGTGTATTATTTCCAGTGTCCTTTCCTGACCGCAATCTTCAAGTTTTCGCTTCATGAGAGCAAACGCTAACCGACAACAGCTAAAGATAGCTAGGAATCTTTCAAGTTGTTACATTACTTACTATTTTTAGGGCCAAGTCCCATCAATAATAGCTTGCTTTAGCAAAAACAAGGCTGCGTATGGGTTGAGAAGCAACAATTTGTACTTGAAGTTACACGCAAGCGTTTGCTTCGATAAGCTATATATCCGGCGAAACACATATATTTAAATTGATGTACGACTTTTATTGTCTCTTGTAAGGTGAACTAAGCCTCTCATTTGATGCCGGGATTATACTCACATACTACTGCCGGTACTCCCTGGGATAGTGCTTCGGCATATTCCTTACTGGTTCTCAGAAACGCAAATGATATAGGACGAGAGTACATTAAAGCGGGTTGAAATCGACAACCACAGGTCAGGACCAAAGCTAATACACCAAAAAAACAAAACAAACAAACAAAAAAAACACTTTGTATTAACGTGGCCACACCCTGATATTATCGTTTCCTTTTGTCCTTCTTTACCCCTTTTCCTTTCCCGCTCAGGTCAGTTCCCTAGCAGCATCTCTTCGTCAGTCAGGTTCACAGGCTGTCTATTTTGAATTGGAACAGTGGTGGTGTTCCCAATGCTTTCCCACGACAAATCAGCGGCATAAGGGGCGATTGCTTTTAAAAGGCGGAATGTGAGAATTACGTTTTACTCCAACATGGAAATCGCATTTCAACTTTAATTTCGTGGTTATATGATGTTTTTCGATCCAGACGAACGAAAAAGAAAGCATCGATACTTAACGTCAAGTCTGGTCAGTACGCGATTTACATTCATGCTCTCCTAGCAATGAAAACACTACACTTCACTTTTGTTTAAAAAAAATCCCTTTTATTCCTTTCACATCATATTGCAAGTGTTTAACCTGGGGTTATTGAAAGTCATTAAACACATTGCAGAAAATAAACAATAATATCACTATGATTGGATTTTCTCGTTGCTATATTTTTCTTGAGAAACATTCACTTTTCATTCTGAAAGAGCTATCTACCTCACCGTCTCACAATGTACGAGTACAAATACAACATAATACAAATATATATAGCTTGTAAAACTCAAACTGCAATGTTGTTGAATCCGGTAATCCACCTGTCACTCGCTAATTATCTGTAAAAAAAAAAAAAGAGATAAAATGAGAATTGAGAAATCCATCAGTGCAATATGTACGAAATGGTAAGATGAAACGAGGAGAGCAGAGTAAAGATCTTTTAAAGTTAAACAGTACTGAACTGGTTGTTCATCAGGCCCCGGTTGTTCGAAGGCTGGATAACGCTATCCACCGGATAAATCGCTATTCAGTGGATAAGAGTTAACAAAACAAACCACGCTATCCGCTGGATAGTGATTTATCCGGTGGATAGCGTTATCCACCTTTCCAACAACCCGGGCCATAAACGGAAGAAAATAGTACGATGTTTTAGGCGATAACTAAAATAAATTTTTATGATCAAATACATTTTAAAAACACCGACCTTCGTCTCTTTTCTTACCATTTCCCCCGCCAATTCTCTTTAAGAGTAGTTTCTCGTTTTCTTGTCTACTATTGCAAACAGTCCGGCGTGTAATGATTAAAAGCATTAACATTCAAACATGGGCCGGCTTTCGAATTTCCTTACGGTCGAGGCTGGTAACGCGGTAGGAAGAGAAAGAGCCTCAAATCAATCTTTCTTTAAATTATGTATCAGGAGCTTATTGAGCTGGCTATGTGGAATCTGATTTCATAACTCTAAACCTTATATATTCATTAGTTCACATGCTGAAGACGGGTTGTGGGCTGTCATATACTCGTATCTGTTCTACAGTCCGTCGTAATTGTGTATAAGTCATGTCATGAAACAAAAACGTAAATAAATTAACATTGTTTTTTTTCTTTAGAGTTCATTCTTTTTTGTATCACAAGAGTGTAAAAACCCTGCTGATGCCGCGAATAATTTGCAAGCGTATTTATCTTCTAGGTTTTTCGGAACAACTTAAAGCTGACAACATGCCGCACAATTGTCTTCGCTTCTTTTTTAAATTACCTTTGCCAAAAAAATTACGTTTCTGGGCTACGACTCTCTTCCCTGGTTTTCTTCTGTGAAGAATTTTACTGCGTCTCGCGAGGCCTCCATTATCCAAACGCGACACACGTGCACTCTTTGGCTTTGCCACACAGCATTCACGTGAGCAAGCCTTAGTGCAATGCCGAGAACAAATGACTGGACACGGGGAGGAGGAAGCAGTTGGAGTTGATATTAGTGGGGACAGAGAGATTGGGGGAGGCTGGACAGCACTTGACGATTCTTTCTGATCATGTTGATGAAGATGAGTGTCTGGTGTTACCGGCGTCAGTGACTTTGCAACATTTTGATGATGATCCCTTGCACTTGCTAGGCGTCTAAGATTGTCCAATACGGATCTGTCGCAGCAGTGAATTGGGCATGTACTTGCACACCTAGATCTACATACCGCAGGGCACACTGTCGGCCAGGGCTGCTGTTGTGGCTGAAAATATGGTGGTGGTGGTGGTGGTTGCATGTAGTACGCTGGTGGAGCTGGTGCAGGGGGTGGGACATAAAAACGTGTTGCTGGTAACGAAGCAAATTTGGTGCAGCATGCCACTGGGCAGGAGCCCATGCATACGGTGTTACAAACTGCGGGACATGTTGCAGGTGGTCCTGACGCCACTGGGTAGGTCGAGGGCAGTCCTGGAACAACATAAGGTGGAGGGGGTGGAGGGTAAGGAGCAGAAATGTATATTGGGGGAAGGGGTGGAGGAGGTGGAGGTGGAGGCGGAGGCGGAGGTGGTAGAGGGGCAGGGGCGGGAGGAGGGTTTTGAATAACTGGCAGAGGAAGGACGCAACATTCATCAGGACAGGTTGGCTTGCAAGAATGCGCACAGTACGAGGGACAGGAGCTCGTTGAGGTACAACAATGGGCTGGACACGAGTCGTCACACTGTGATTGACAGTTGCCAGGGCAGGGTACATTGACGTGGAAATGAATGCTTTCTGTTGGCTTTGGTTCGGCCGCAACTGTAAATAGACAGTGCGCATGGCACTTTTAGCAATCATGCAATTGAGAGACCAAGAAGTAGTACTCACCCGAATCTAAGTGTTCTCTAATAAGTCTGGAATGAAGGAGAAGTGAGCCGATACAAGACTGTGTTAACTTGCGGCCTGTCTGGCGTTTATTCTCTTGCATGAGACAATCACCATTATATGGTTGCAAAGTAACTGCTATTTTAACTCTAAAACAAGTCTGAAAACTTCACTGTGCATTTTAGTACGTCGAGCAGTCGCCGTCACGTCCTAACTAAAACCGTGGCAGTCCGTCTGTTTGAATAAAAGGGCTCACTTTGCCTTCAGTGCATTTACACTACAATTAAATTTGCTTTCTTTCATATTGCTAACGACAATAAATGGAATTGCGTGTTTTGATGTTGTTTGCTCACTTCCTTTATGAATGAGGTGCGTTAAACTTGAACCCTCCAATACAGTGTAATGTTGAATTAAATGTAGCCCCATAAAAAAGATTTTCACTTTTGTGTATTTCAGTCTTGTACAGAAGTGTGCATCGTTACGTGGAACATAGTTGGCGTAGTTTAGTGTATGTTGGTTTCAAGGTCTGTCAATCTTAAAGCTAAGAAAAACTAATACAAATCTATAGGTTTTAGCCGCAGAATAGTGATTGATGCCTTTAATATAAGACAAGAATACCAACCTGTTTTTATGACATTGTCCCAACCCCAATATGGCGAAAGAATATGTTTACACGTTTATTGGAAGAGAAAGGAACGCTAGCAAGTGGGCTGCTACCCTCTCTAAGCTCCCGCTTTAAATCCTATTCTTAAATTTAAGTCCTTAGAAGATCAAAAGCGACTCTATACACTGCTAACCTTTCACTTTACAGAAGCCCCATTTGCCGTCCCGGTCATAACTGTATGTTGTACCGCACCATGGCTTGACTTGGTCTCCTCGAATGCAGTGATGATACATCATGCCGTTGTACGTGAAGGGAAACTGACAGCATGCTCCGTGAGCATTTCCACCGTACGTGTGATGGCAATCTAGACACCATGCAGACAAGTTAGCAGTTTTAGTTCAAGCATCAGAGCCAGTATCATTGGTAATCCTTATAAAGCATTTCAGTTTTAGCGTCTTCAAGAAATCCTCAATTTGTAATTTTTAATTAACAGCTGGTAAATTTTAAAGAGGTTATGCTTATTTAATGGGAAGAACCTAATCCCAATCAGCAGAGAGGTCACCCCAATGTTTTTGAAAAAAAAAGAAAATAAAACCAAAATGTTATTTCTGAAGTTCTGGTTAAACATTGATTGGAATAAAAGTTTTGCTTTCTTTCGTTTTTATAGTTTTAGCGGCCATTGGCTGGTGAAACATTTGTGTTTCTCGCTTTTTATTTTCTGGGACGTGAATTCTGGAAGGCTTTTACTTACTTCCACAGTAACCCCATTTATTGTCCGTGTCGTAGTCTTTCGTGGTAGCGCACCACAGCCTTCTACTGTCAACGTTTGAACAGCTGTTGTAATCTTCTCCATTGTAGGTGAATGGGAACATACAGCAAGCTCCTTCTGAGTTCCCACCATGCGTCGGGGTACATCCTAGCACTGACAAAAACCAAAAGATATTCAAATGCAAATAGAACCTGGTGACGCGCGGATTAAATAATGGCAATTTCCAGATCTGTTGGTGGCGATGAAACATGACTTGCACAGGTAGTTTCGGTGTACATGTATTGTTCCTTTTCTCCCAACATGCTACCTTTTATTCATGGTCGTTTTTAGTTTTTTTGTTTGCATTTTGTCTAGATCACTAGGAACGAGATTTCCCATTTTTTAAAACCGTCGCTGTACCTGCTACCCAATGTTGACTTTTTACTGCATAACAGTCTTCTTAACTTCTCTTCTTTAAAGCCCTTTGCTAAAATGACTTGCTTTGACAATAAGGACTATTCAATATCCTATCATTACAGCAATGAAATGGTCTGAAAAGCTTGTTGCCCTTAATTATTGAGGAAACTATACAGAATGTTCCATTGCGCAAGTCAATCTTGATCCGCACAGTTTTTTTAATCAACTTTTCAAGTGAACGTATGGTGTATTATAAACATCAGAAACAAGTGATTTATCTGTTTATCTCAAAACTCACAATATCTTCAATGCCATTTTAAATACAATAAATAACAGTTGCCACTGCGACGACCATCCTGAAAATGGATTCTTCTTATAATCGGCTTCAACAACGGAACTTTGCTTTATTCCCTTCAAACTTCCAAACAATTCTCACTTAATTGACTTACTGATTTTGCCTGAAAAAAGTATCTATGTATAGCATTATATACAAACCGGCAATGTTCCAAAACAACAATATAGCACACTGTTTACCCTTAAGAAAGATTACGATCAAAAAATGCTCTATCATTTTAGCTTATCTGCGATTGCCACCAACGTGGTACTTTATATGTTTTTTGGTTTGGCCTTTATGTGTGTTCCTTTTTGGAATTCCTCCCTTTCTATCCGAATTAGCTCTTGAATTAGTAGCATGTAACGTCTTTTTCTCCATAACGGCATATTCTGGCTCAGTATCGTCATCAGAATCGTTAAAAGGTATATCACCATTGTCATCTTCACTATCGCTGTTTACATCGTTTCTTCCAAACAGGGAATTCCTTTGGCCTAAATCATTAAGATCATTCCGATCAATTTCAACGGGGACGTTGTACATCATGTTGCCAGGCGCTTGGTTGTTAATCTCGTTTTTCTGGTAATTTTCATTTTGCATTCCGTTAGACAGCTGGTCTTCCTGGTTTCCCTGGAGGTACATCATTTGTTGGCCATCTCCAGGGCTGTCTTGTAGCGTATTTCCATCTTCGGTGAAGACTAGCTTAGAGAGCACATTCTGCAGCTGGTTAAGCAAACCAGAAGCTTGAACTGGCTCTCCGTTCGGGAACGCCTCTGAGTTTAATTCTCCTCCATAATCTGAAGCTGTAGGTGCTGTTGGTGCTATTAGTCCTGTTGGTGTTGGAGCTGTAGGTGAAAGATCTTCAGCTCCTTTATTTTTCTTCAGAAGTAGCATAATAAGTTGCCGGGCTTGCTCGAACAGAGCTTGTTCTTTAGACACTTGGGCCGCCAGGTCTGTTTGCTGCTTGGCCAAGAAACTTTGTTGAGTTTGGATCTCAGCTATTTGCTTCTTAATAAGTTCAATATCGATTGTAGTTTGCTGATTGACTGGTGGCTGCGATGTCGTCGGTGGTGCTTGGGTTGCATTGGAAGTGGTGATAGTAATATTGACATCATCGTTATGTGAATGATTCAGTCCAGCTCTAACTGGACTAGGCGTGGCAACAGCATCATGCGTAGTGCCAGTCTTCGTCATGGCTTCCTCCTCTCGTGTCAGTAAACTTTCTAAATGTTCCTGCTGATCCTTAAGTTCGTCTTGCTGTTCTTGCAAAAGCTTTAAGGCATTCTCTTTTCTCCGGAAATGCTGATAATTGTTCAGCATCTTGTCAATAAAATTGACCCGCTCGTCCTTCAACGATTGGCCTTTTTGCTTTGCCTTATGGCCATCAACACTGTATTCTTTCATCCATTTCGTAAACAAACGTTTTATTTTATTCATCTCCTTAGATCCAATATGTGGATGCGAAAATTTCTTCTGTCCTTTTCTATCCTGCAGACGAGCAGTGATCTTTTTTGCGTCCACCTTGGCTGCATCTCTATTGTCAGGATGACAAGTACATTTCTCGTGACACTTTCCATTGTCCCGGCCATCACATTCCATGAGGCAATTGCAGCTTTCCCGATTGACCTTTGGCCTTTCCAAGGAAGGCATTGGTATTTCTTCATGTTTTAGAGCGTTTAGGGATTGAATTTCGTCATATCTTGCGGGACTACAGCATACGATTGGACAAGTCGGATGACATGGCGAGTGCGGCGTGTGACAAATAGGGGCGCAAGGTTTTAATTTACCTGAAAAGAACGCAGCTTTTCAGACAAGTTTCATGTTCCATTGATATACAAGAAAATGCAACAATTAGGAAAATAACACCTTACCTTTTGTGTTCTGCCTCCAAACACAGTGCTGTGAAACTGCTTGCTGCAGCCGCGAAATCCATCTCTATTATCTCAGTTTTTGGTTTCCAAACCGTCGAAAACTCGTTCGCTCTTTGCAGCAGAATATCGTACTCTTTGCAAATACTTTTGGATGCACAATTAACTACATAGATTCTCGTGCTAATCGGCATCGTGCATTGTAAAGGAATATCATCTTCAGCGGGTCTTAGGTCCTTTTTTAACTTTTTTCATTCCAATTTGCTTATGAACACTTTCGCGGCTGAGCGAGTCAGTTGCCCAGAGCATTGCGTTTTTGACGCAGGACATTAAGCAAAGCTACGTGCCTATAACACGAGATTCCATGTTAAGTTATGTAATTGCTATTTTGTTTTTTTGCGCACTTAGACTGCAAGGGCTAGAAATAATATAATAGAGTCCAATAGACAGAAATCAGAAGGAGAGGGACAAAGCAGTCAGTCACTAACTGGCTCCTGAGTGTACTGAAAGATCTTTATAAAATGAAATGGAAAATCTACACTAGTTGAATATAGACAGAGAATAATAGCAACCATTAACAACCTCATACTCAGGCATTCCCTGAAAATAATGACATCAGTATTTCTCGGAGCAAACCCATAAAAGCAGTTCATTGTGCTTACATTTTCGATTTAGGCTAGGTTGAATGGCATGTCGAGAGATGACATATCAAAAGACAATCGCTCTGCACGTAACACTGAAAACACTGCATGAACGAATATTTAGTTCGGGCAGCTCCATGCAGCGTGAAGCCAGCTTATGCAAAAGATCCCACCCCACAAACCAAAATGAAAGACCAATTCAAAAATATTAAAGGCTAGAAATAATTGGTCTATTTACCATCAGGGTGGTAGTGGAAGTGATAGTGTACATCTTTTCCACCTGAAAAAGAAACAAATAAAAGAGAAACATATAAGACCTCGTGCTTTAATTTAACGCGAGAGAGCAAAAAAGCATTTGGAATATACTGACAAACTGATAAAAACGTATTTTGGTTCGTTCTGTATTACAAAATGTTTGAATATTAATTCGTCTTATGTTTTATGATATTATCAAACACTCACCAGTCGGCGGAGTGCTTCCAGGCGGAGGGGCAGCTACAAAAAAAAAATGAATTAATTAAATAAATAAAAATAGAAAATTAAAATTAGGCAAGACTGTTACCACTTAGAACACGTAACGCTACAACGACATGATAGAGTCCAAAATGGAAGCCGAGATGCAGCTATGAGAAACTTTGGCTTTGGTTGGGTTTCATCAGCACAGTGCAGGAGCAAAAAATAGAGCACCCGATACGAGGGCCAAATGTCCAGTAAGTGCCTATGTAACGACCTCAGATGAAACTCAAATCCAAATGTTCGGGTTTGGTCAACTTCACATGCACAGCGGGATTGTGGATATAATGTCTATGTCGCGAACAAACACTGTCTTGCAGGAAATGCATGGCCAATACAATCATAAACATGAAAAGCATATTGGGTCGATCATCTGTTAACTTTTCTTAATTTCGCTATTTCGCGAGTAAATACGTGTATATCGTTTGAAATCAGTGGGCATGAAGCCCAGAGAAAAGATCTTTGTGAAATAAGGTTTACGGTTACAATCGTTATTTTCAGGTAAATAAGCTTTGGTTATTGCTCATTATAATTTTTTGCTCTTTAAAACAAAAGTGTTCAGAAAAGAGTAATTCCATTTTAATAATAAGGTTAACTCATTTCAATTACCATTCACTGCGTATTTCACGAGTTTGCTCCATTATTAAGTTATTTACGTTAAGCAACAACCGTTAAATAATAACAGATTAAACTTTTATGAAGCTCATTTTCCCTAAAACTACAGCGTCTACCTGTCAGTAACTCTCTTCCCAAGAAACATCACGTACCTGTGACTGGAACGGGCGGTGGCTGCTGTGGTGGTGGGGCTGGTGGGGGTGCCACTGGTGGCGCTGCAGGAGGGGCTAGCGAAGGTGGTGGAGACGGCGGCGGCGGTGGTGGTGGGGCTAGCGGTGGTGGCGGCGGTGG